TTGGGTGCAAATTGGTGCAAATATAAAATTATCAGGCGTAAAATTAGAGATTTTAGAGTGACAGTCTAAAATCCCCAATTCGATTCTATCGTTTGGGTGCTGAAGTGTAGATGTTAGCCCTCAGGTGAGGAGAACGTAGGAGCTCCGAAGTGAAAGCTGGTATCCTCCCAGCCTAGTCGCTGATTCAGTAAACAAGCGTAGGATTAGTCAATGTTCTTTATGCCTGGACCAAAGGGTAAAGAATATGTATGCAATATCTAGGTTGGTATCCTCCCAGCCTAGATGTTTTCTTATATATTGAATATCACATTAAAAACTTTATTAGTATAATTAGTTATTTAAGAGTTATTAAAATTACATATTTATTTCAATTTTCTATTAGTGACAGATAAGCAATTTGAATTATATTGTTGTGATTAAGTATTGATTTTCTAAAATCTTAGTTCGTAGTTTTAATATTACTCTCTGTGGGATCGATATCTAAGACTCTATTAGAGTCTTATATTACTTGAGCGATATGTATACTTGCGTTGATAAATGTGACTTTACCATTATTGATTATTTTATATATACATCTTTATCGAATTTATAACTGTTATTAAGTTTTTGGTGTCGTTGCTGAGGAATTAAATCTTCTAGCAGCAGTATTAAATACTTGTATTTTTAAGCATATATAAAGTCGTTGTCGGTCAACGACCTACATCCACAGAAGGAAAGACACGAATGTTTCATTATGAAATTGTGTAAAATACATAGCTATCAAACTGCTACAACAATAATAGATGACATTGTTGCACATAATCCCTTAAAACAGCAACCTCTATGGCAAATACAAATGTATAAAATAGAAAATCCATAAATTTTGACCTGCTGCATGTAAAAACAGACACTACAACAAATACAAACTTCTAATGCCAATACATCTTTCTACAGCTAGTAACCAGCAAACCCGAAATACATCTACCAAAAGCTGCATCCATTGTAGCTAGTAAACCAGAAAAATGCAGGTAGTGCAGCTATTACACCAATGCAGCCAAGCCAATATAAACTGCTATTGTGAAATACATGAAACCAAGAACTGTATCAAATTAAGAACTTGCTTCAAAACCATAAACCAAGAACTGCATCAAATTAAATAAGTGTAAAAAGTACATAAACCCCTTAACTGCAGGTAATGGATATTTATATGAAGCATTTTTTAAATCAATTTTGGAGTGAATTTGAAACACCCACTTTCGCAACTAATTCAATACTGAAAATGAATATCGAGTATTTTTTTTAGCCACCATTGCAATCAATACTGTACAATCTTTGGAATCAAATACTGAACATATGAAACATCTTTCAGCCACAATTGCAATCAATACAATTTCTGTAGGAATATCTAGGAACAGAAACAATGACCTTTCCTAGCAATTCCATAAGCAAAACTTTCCAGCAATTCGAAAACATCAATAGACTAACCCATCCAATTATGCTGCAAAACCATAAACTAAGAACTGCACCAAACATTTGAAAATCTAATTTCGCCTCTACAAAATAATAGATTATTGAAAAGGCATTCCTAAAAATTATTGCAAACTCAAGTGTAGCAAATCAAAAAATTTTGTAAATTCTACAGAACAACAGACAAACAGAACCCATTTCTGAGCAATTTCAAATCGAGCTGCAACAACATAATCCCAACGAGAGACATACAGGAATTTATATGGAAACCAGAACTCTGTAGCAGGATAACACCTCATTTTTCTCTATTTGTAAAAATCTAAGAATATCAGAGAGGGGAAGAAGGAAACAGTGATGCAAAGGGAGAGACGAGAATGAGCAAGAAAAACTTTCTCTCTATTTGCAATATGTTGAAATCTAATGAATACCGTATATCTCTTCTCAGAGAAATAAAAAAATTTCTCTCTATCGTAAAAATCTAATGAATACTATATATCTCTTCTCAGAGAAATGCAAAAAATGTGAAAAGATATCTCATTTGAGGCGAGAAGGAGCGGAAGGAAGATCAGGGAGGCCCTAGAGTGAGGATTTTCGTTACCTCGATGTCGATCTTCGCAAGAGAAGTTGCAGAAGGAGGAAGGAAGAACGGGAGGGTGAGAGTAGAAGGGGAGAGCGAGCTAGGGGCACAGGAGGAAAATATTACCCTAACGCGACAATCATACGCGGGATGCAGACTGCCTTCCGCTTCGCTAACCCTTAAGGAATATGGGATCGGCGTCAGGGTGCGGCAGAAATACGCTCAACAAACGCATTATTCAAACACTGCGGCGGCGTTTTGAAAACACCACCGCAAGTAAATAAGCTGCCCCAAATGGGCCCTAAGGGTTAGCTGTAGTTGAGGCCATTTCAAGGCCTATTTTCTATATATATGTGCTTGAATTCTCCTTGCTCTATGTATACAGTTTTTTTTTTTTCTATTTTGTAAAATGACTTTTTAAGGATTTGGATTTTAGTATTGTGTGTCGTTGATCAAATGTGATGAAGATTGCAAACATCAAACTCCTTGTCCCATAAATGAAGAGTAATGTACTCTATACACAAATGATAGTGCCCAAATATTATCCGATGATAAAATAGATTACATGATTGTGTCTAGATCGTCAAGACTGCTCAAATGAGCATATTTGTATCTAAATCGGGTTTCATTTAGTGTGTGTTGATGGATCAAGTATTCATTTTATGTAAATTTTATATAAATTTAATATATATTTATGTATTTATATATTAATGCTAGTCTATATTTATATTTTTGTATAAATATATACTAATTAATATATATCTATATCTTTTTTTTATATTTATCTATTATTAATACATAGTATTAAATTTTTAATTTAATATTCCCTCCAAAATCTCCAATTTAATTAAATATTAATTGAATACTAATTGAGTTGTCTCTAATTAAAGAAAATTAATTTTCTGGTCAATTGTTCTCTTAATAACCAGGATGTAAAAGAGAGGAAAAATTTTACAATTTTTATTTGCAAAAATACCCTCACGGCATCTCTCTCTCTCTCTCTCTCTCTCTCTCTCTCTCTCCCCCCTCTCATTCTTGAAAAATTATTATGTGTGACAACCACACCTCCGGGCGACGACATGATGGGTCATTGAGATACACGGTGGCATAGCTGCATTCGGATCTTTGCCCAGACGTTCGGCCAATCACACATAATATTTTTCCATTATTATTTCTCGTCTACCCACAGCAAAATATCACATTTTTACTTCACATCACTACTGCGACATCTCTTAAATTGTAAAGTGGTGCTCTATCCCATCTCTCTATCTCTCTTATAAGAATGCATCAGATGTTTATCTGCCCCTATTATCTAATCCAATACACTGGGTCTGTCTCATTCTACTTTCTTTAGATCATGAAAATCTCTAGCATCTCACCATTGTGCTCCATGATGTACACCCAAAAATATCTAGAAGTAATCATTAATGAAAGAGATAGTATTTATGTAAGTCGAATGATGGCGTCTTCATCGTGCCCCAAACATTTGTGTTGACACACTTTATAATACTCTTTATACGGAGGATGAGATAATCAAAACATACACGTCTTCTCATCGAACATATAATGTTCACAAAAATTAAGCTAACAAGTGCTTTACAAAAAAGTGCTTTTGTTTTTTTTATCAATCCTTACTTTACCAAAGACTGAAGTGAAGCTTCTTCTGCATGAACTAGTCACATATGCCAAAATATAGTGGCATCAAAAGAATCGTTGGCAATAATCACAGTTACAATCATTATTGTTATTTTGACCCCCAATTAATGAACTAAGGTAAAAGGGCAATTTTGTAATGTGACACCGCCACCTACCACATCTCACCTA